AAATTAATAAATCAATTTATTATTAAATATTTAATTCTAATATAATATAATATAATATAATTAACTCACTCCACGTGCACCATCCGGGGACTATTCGGGTGACCATTCCAACTACAACTCTTCTCCAACGACTGTTTCGGCAACCGTTCCGATGACCATTCCAGCGATCATTCCGATCATAGATTTACAATTTAGTTAGTCACATTTTATTTTTCGGTCACAAATAATAATTTTTATACGTTACATATTATTTTACGGTTACATTTCAAATATTTTGTAGGCCACAATTAATTCGTTGGTCACAGATCAAAATTTATAGGTCACACGGTCACATATTTCAAAATTAGCTAGTCATAGATTTTTTCATGGTCACAGATTATATAATTTTTCGGTCACAGATAACAAAATGGTTGGTCACGGATTATATTTTTAGTCACATACTATATTTTTAATCACACAACCAAAATCACCACATCCGTCAGATCCTCCACCTATACCACTGTCGACTGCCACCACCATTGTCTACCTACCACACACCACATCTGGTCAAATACCACCGCACACCGACAGAGCCACCACCACCGCACCCAACTACACCACCATCTCACGGCATCGATCTGAAAAAAGTTCCCAACTCCCGTCGCAGCCCAGAGCGCGCATAGATCTGCACTCCGTTTCACCGTGCACTACAGCCCCGAGCAGTACCCATCCCCAACCCAATCCAGAGCAACAAGCTACTCCTCTACACACCGCCAACACCTCACAAGGGCCATCAACGTCAAGCCATCACAGCCATCGCCAAGAAATACAAATACAACAAACGAAAACCACCCCCAAAAACTTCAGCGCCACCAGATCCACCACCACCAACATACAAAACACCTTCCAAACCCATCCCAATCGCCACTGCCAACCAAGCAAACCAACAACGATCAAAACAAAAAAAATAAAAAATAAAAAAATAAGCAAAGCCATGGGAAGCAGAATTCACAGAGAGGACGATACGACGACGTCTGAAAGAGAGGAAGAAGATGGAGAGGGGCAATGGGCGGAGTCGGGGGCTTCAGAGGCCTGGGTTAAGGGGAGAGAAGATGGAGGCAGCGTCGAAGGCCTGGGTACCTCGCGTCAGCGATGGTGATGGTGCTAGTCTTTTTCATGGCGAGCCCGATTGTGGAGAGAGGGGCATAGAAAAGCTACGGCGAGGCTATGGAGAGAGGGGCATACAAGCGCTGTCGAAGATGTCATGAACGCTACCGGCGATGCTGTGGAGAGAGATGGGCAGCGTTGGCGGCCCGATTGTGGAGAGAGAGGAGAGGGTGAGAGAAAATATTGATTGAAAATGAATGATTTTTGATTAGATAAACCTTGGGCCTGAATTTTGAATTACGAAGTTTAAACCACTGGTTTTTTGTGATTTCCTAAAAAAATTGGGAATCCTGGTTTTTTGTGATTTCCTAAAAAAATTGGGAATCGGTCACAGGAAAGAAAGGGCCTGGAACAAAAACTAGGAGTGATTCAATGAAAGAAAAAAATAGGGCAAATGAAGCTAATATTTGGGTTAAATATGGAGGGAATGGGCCACTTGGGCCCTTTAATGCATGCTATTATACACAGTTTGAATACAAATCAAATTACAATGTTAAACTCTAATGAGTTAATTATAGTGGAAATTATACAAAATCAAAATTTTAAAAATTCAATTTTAAAAATCAGATATTAATTCAAAATTTTAATACTATCCAAACCCTAAAAATCCCAAAATCCAAAATCATTACCCATATTTTCCTTCCCTCTCTCCCTCCTTTCCCGTCTCTCCTGTCAGCTGCTTGACGTCAACAGGTAACGTAAAGCCTGCTCCTACTCTGACTCCGACGACCAACCTGCACACAATCGGTTTGATGAACGTGTGAATAGCTGAGATTTGGGAGATGAATTTTTTGAAGAGAAATGGAAAAAATGAGTTTAACCGAGCATGAGGGGTTATTTCTAAAAATTAGTTCAAGCTCATCGATTCAGAAGTTAATCAAATTCCTTGAGTACTCGTTTTTAAAAAGTGAGTTTGATGAGGTCAAAAACATTTTGCCTGATCGCGAGAATAGCATGAAGACAGAGAGAGAGAGAGTTTTGAAAGGGATCGACGGTCAATCAAAAAAGAATGTGATTTATTGGAGCAGGATAAGTTAGTGCTAAAGGGTAAGTTCAAGGAAAAGAGTAAAATGATTCTTCAGTTGAATGAGAAGATTAAGGAATTGAAGAATCAAAAATTGGAAAGTAAGCAAACTGTAGTGAAGTATGAGGTGAAAATTAAGTCCATGAATAACGAGGTAGAGAAGTTGAAGTGTGAAAAATTGGAGACTGACGGTGGAAGTGTATAAGAAGAGATTCTTAGAAGACGGCTCCGGCTCTGGCGACCAACCTGCACACGAACCAGCGACCATCCTTCACATGCCTCGCGTTGCATTGTGACGTTCACGCACCTGTGTTGTCGTTGCTATCTCTCTCTTCTCCCTCATTCCCTTCTCCATTTTCTTTCTATCGCGACGTGTGGCTGTGTAAATGGTGTTGGTGTCGGTGGTGGTGCGATGTAGGCATGTTGGTGCGCTGTGGGCGTAACATTACAGATCTCTAGTCACTTTTAGTGTGGAGGTGGTGCAATGTGGGCGGCCATTTTATCGTTGGGTTTTTTTGTTGTGTTTGCGGTTGTTGGTGGTAGCTATGGTGTTGCTGATTTTGGAGGTTGGTGGTGGTTGTGGCGCGGCATCGTGGTTGCTGTGGTTGTGGGTAGTGGTGGTCGTGGTGATATCGATATTTTCAGATGATGGTTTGTTGTTGGGAGGTAGTGGTTACAACGATGAGATTTTAGTTGCCATGCTGTTGGTGGCAGTGGTGACTCTGGTGGGGTTGTAATGATAGGTGGCGGTTGTGGTGGTGGTGGTCAGAGATTATTTGTTTGTTTATGATCATTAAATTGATTAATATATGATCAATAGACAATATTTGATAAATAAAAAAACATAAATTGTGATAAAAAAAATAATGTGTGACATAAAAATTGTTAATTTGTGACCGATAATTTGATAATTTGTGACGTCTATTAAGTTGTGACTTATAATGTTTACGATTTGTGATTGATGAATAAGTTGTGATGTTTCAATTTTTTTATTGTGACAAATGAACAAATTGTGACCTATAAAATTTCTGAATTGTGACGTTAAAATAATTTAGGGCCATGCTTGGGATACATTATAAATGATCCATAATGGTGTCCATATACACACATGGGGTGGAGGCCACTTGAATATTACCATTATGGATCATTTATTATGTACAAGGAGCTTTATCCAATAATTTGTGACCTATAATATTTATGATTTGTAACCCTGAAATAATTTGTGACTTATAAAATTTATGATTTGTGATCGTTGAACAAATTGTGACATATAAAATTTTTGAATTGTGACCGTAAAATAATTTGTGATATGTAAAATTTGTAATTTGTCAGCAATTAATAATATGTGATCAATTATATAGAATTTGTTATCAAATTATATGGAATTGTGACCTTAGTATATTTAATTAATAAAATATATGTTTAATTAATTTATAAATAACATTTCAAAAAATCTGAGATTTGAAATTTAAAACCTTAACAAATCTGAAATTTGAAATTTTAAACCATCACTACACCAAAAACTACATTTTGCAACGGTCGAAAAACGTTGCCATTGACCTTTTGCAGCGTTCAAGCGTATGTTGCGGACTTTGATGTTGCCGTAGAGTGGAAAGTTTTTGCAACATTCAATGCATGTTGCTAAAAGGTTTTTCTCAACGTTTAATGCGTGTTGCAAATAACCTTTTAGCAACAGTCAATGAACGTCGCTAAAAACCTTTAGCAACACGCATGGAACGTTGCAAATAACTTTTTGCAACGTTTTTTGCCCATTGTCTTTGCTTATATTCTTACTTTTTGCAACATATTTTGACCGTTGCCGTAGGTCATTTTATATATATATATATATATTTTATTTGTACAATGATTTACAATAATCATCATTAATTAAACTCCAAAATGAAATAATATTCAAACAAAACAATATCAAATAACTCAAATAATCATCATTAATTAAACTCCAAAATGTAATAATATCCAATTATCCATACCAAATGCAGATCCAAAATTCTGAAGGACCTAAAAACCTAATACATCTTCAAAAAAAAAAAAAAAAGAACTACCACAAAGCACCTAAAATCCCAATACATTTCCCAAGATTTTCAAGGCGATTAACCTTCAGACCTTTTGAAGCACCTACTTGAAGCTCAAAACAATATCCGTGTCCATCTGCATAAAAGAAAAGAAAGGATTGGATTCAAGATTATGTTTAGGAAACTAATAATATGACAATTACCAGTCGTAGTAACTTACAGATTTTGCCAGCTCTTTAGCCTTCTCATCGTCAAAACCAAGTACAGCCAGCATTTTGTGCCCTGCAACTTCCTTTTCTGACCAAATACCAAGTAGTAAATGTGTCATTGTAACTTCTCCACTTTCACTTGCTTTTACATTATAATCAGGCAAACACTTTAAAAGAAAAAAAAAAAGGAAAGTGCAACATCATGACTCATATAAGTAAAGCCAACACAATGCCATATATAAGGCAAAGGGAGAGACTGACAATCAAAACATAAAGTGATTGGCCAGGCATAACAGATAATGGAGGCAGTTTAAGTTTTGTCATTCATCATGCCAGGGCAGTACTCATTCACAGTAACTATTAAAAAACATCCACATACCAAAACAAGGATACTTAATCACATTTCCACCAAGACACCAAATTTCTTTCGGGATATTCATCATAACCTGGGATTTAGAATGAACTAGATCAGGATGCAGCTTCGTTTGCCAGTCATTGTACTTCCCCTCTAATTCATCCACTTCAATTTTAAATTTCCTTTCCCTGTGAAGGAAGCGATCGCAAAGAAGTCTTCTATGTATCATGATTATTCAGAACATATAAATTATTTCAATAATCCATTTTCCTCAATAGAATAATTTCCTCATTCTAAACCAGCAACAAAGTCTAATTAGGCAATGATAGCCATTGCACAGGGCAACAGAAGATAAATATTATGCACAAATGTCTCCTGGACATTGTTATAGTTTTAGAGAAGTTACATAAAGCACTAATATTACCAAATCAATATTGCAATGATTAAATGCTGTAACAGATAATTATACAATTATGTAAGTAATGGACATCGACTACCTGACTTCAAATTTTCATCTAACGCCCAATCAAGAGCCCTTTGAGCTGGTTCAGTCAGGGGACAATGCTCGGGACTGAAGAAATACACGTCAGATTTTCCAAGCAATTTCAAAGTTTCTTCTCGCACCTTGAAAATTGTAATACCATTTTCCCCTTTTTGAGGATAAAATATCATCAGTTTCAATTCACATGTTTGCACCATAAAAAGTAAACGAAAACATCATAAAACCTTTCAAGGTTTCCTAGGATTGTTTCATCAAACTTTAGATTTATTATTATAAGAAAAAACAGATTGATTTTTAGAAGTAGCTCCCTTACACTACCTTCTTTATCTTGCAAACCTCCAGCCCTACGCCACCAAAGAATAGTTAAAGTCTTTATTTTGGAAGACGGA